TATATAGACATTTTTTTTTTTTTTTTTTTAAGAAAAAAAAAAATTTGAACTAACATTTTAAAAATAAAATAGAAAATATAACAATAAAAAGAATTTCTAAAATAATGCATGCCTTGCTCAGAGCAGTTTTTTTTTTCTCCCCAACAGGACTTTGGAAAAGAATAAGAAGAAAGGGAAGATCTTTTAAAATCTGTAATGATGAGCAGGTTGTTCTCATTCGCCAATCCCCCCCCAACCTGATATCTGTGTAGCCTTCAGACTCCGAGCTGTCCTTGCGGTCTGACCGAGGCGTTCAAGCTGTTCGTGGACTTCGGCTAAAGCGTTTACCTTTGTGAAACTCAGTCTTAGGCAAGCCAAACCCATACCGATCTAAACGAAATATATAATGAATTCACTTTAACATTTTAAAAATAAAATAGAAAATATAACAATAAAAACGTATTCATAATATTAATTAACTATAATAGTATCTCAATGATACTGAAACACAAGTTAGAAATGCGTTTTTGCTCTTTAGTTAAATTCTACAATCTGTGTCAGCTGTCTGCTTAGTGTGCTTGATTTGACGGGCAACAACAGAGCCTGACCTCTTGTTTCTGTGTGGCCTATGCAGCTGCAGCGGCGTCATGAGCAGATGAAGAAGAACCTGGAGGCTCAGCATAAGGAGCTGGAGGAGAGACGACGTCAGTTTGAGGACGAGAGATCCACCTGGGAGACCCAGCAGCGTATCCTGGAGCAGCAGAAGAAAGGGAAGATCTTTTAAAATCTGTAATGATGAGCAGGTTGTTCTCATTCGCCAATCCCCCCCCAACCTGATATCTGTGTAGCCTTCAGACTCCGAGCTGTCCTTGCGGTCTGACCGAGGCGTTCAAGCTGTTCGTGGACTTCGGCTAAAGCGTTTACCTTTGTGAAACTCAGTCTTAGGCAAGCCAAACCCATACCGATCTAAACGAAATATATAATGAATTCACTTACCAGCTGATGTCTACAGTTATATTGGAAAAAATGTCTAACTGTTGAACTATATTTTGGTGATAAATTGTTTACTCGTTAACTGAATAACATGAACCTCTATAACAGAAGTGCGTTTTTTTGAAAAAGAAAAAAATGTGACTGTGCTCTATTTTCCCTGGATGAAGAATCCCATGTAACGTGGCCAAATTCTACAACTGTAAATGCACAAGTGACATCCAGGGACGGGCAAACGTATTATTTGCTGTTTTGGCTTATAATTTTGTTTTTCTCTTATTGCAGAAGTGTTTCCAAAGTATAATGTCTGTCTAGTCAATATCCTTTGACCACCTCCTATAACTTCATTAATGTTATTTCAGTTATTTTTATATATATATATATATATATATATATAAATATGTATACGTACACCAAGACAGCTAACGTAATATTTTTTGTATGTTTTTTAATACTCAGCAGACGGGTGTCTTAATTCATGGACAGGAACGGGCGTGCTCATGATAGAGAGGTTTCAACATGTTTGTCTGTAAGCTCACCTCTGCTGTACAGTATTTCAGCTGTTAGGACACGAGTCCAAAGCAATTTTTGTTTTGTAATGTTATGTTCTGCGTCTCTGTATTTTTCATTTGTATTGTACAGTCTCTTAATAAACTTGTGATGATACAGGGTGCTCATTAGATTGCTGAAAGATCTCAAATAGTGTTGCAAGACTGGGAACCGTCATAAGGTTGTTGTTTTTAATAAACATTCAAATCTACTAAAAATCTACCTACAACGTTTTTGTACAAGAAACACTGATCATAATATTGAAATTATTTTGTTACGGGGCAGTTGTCACACTTTCATCACTTATTATACCCTTGTATCACATTAAAAGTATAGTGTTGCTCCATATTTAATCATTAAAATGTGTTATGTTTGTATTCATTAATAATGAACGTTTCCAAATAGGTTTTACAGTTATATGGCAGTAATACATTTAACCTTCAAGAATAATTCATGTTTAAAGTGTAAAAAGTAAAAGTGGGACCAACATGTTAATTAATTAATTAATTGATAAACAGTCTTTGACTTGGTATGTTAATAAAAGAATGCTTGTTACATATTTTAAAAGTCTTGCAAATTGAATTACATTTTTGTTAAAAATTTATTTAATAATTAATTGTTCTCTAGCTCAGTGGCGTCTGTCATCTATTTACGTTTAACCAACAAATGCATCACAATTTTAAAGAGCCAATAAATAAAATTCACTTCAAAGTGAAACGGTCGCTCTATTCTCGCTCAAACTGATTTGTGAATGAATCGAATGACTATTTGTGAACAGTTCTAGTTATTTGGTTTTGTTTGTATTTGTGTCCGTTTAACATGAGCGCAAACCAAAGAAGTTGCAAAGCTCATGGAAATGTGTCACGTGACAGTAAGACTCTTCATCATGCTTTAATCATTATTCAGCACTAGGTGGCGGTGTGGACACATTACCAATCCTTCCTCATTCTTTTGGATTGGAGACGTTGAAACTACTTTTGTTGGCTGGTAAAACATTACTAGTTCGTTGACACACTTAGACAGTTTTAATTGTGGCTTTAGTGTCCAAACTGTTTTTGGCGCAACTGTATTTATATATAAGACAAATGCAATTTCCCAAATAACTATTATCTTGTTTTTATTTTTAATTAATTTATTTCAGAACAGAGCGTTATCAGTTTCAGCCTGACGTTTTGGACCAAAAGTATGGAGAACGAAACCTGCAAAAACAATAAATAAATAAATACGCAAGTAAATAAATAAATATGCAAATAAATAAATAAATGTCTGTATAAATACACAAATTCTTGTTTAAATACATATAGAAATAATTAAACGTGATTAAAGTAGGCAAATAAATTAAATAAATTGGTGGGCAAATGGAAAATGTTTAAGGAAATGCTAAACTCATCCTATTTATTTTCCTTTGATCACTCATTTATTTCTGAATGTAGTTCCACATTTATGTTTCCTCTGCACAACATGCTAATGAGAGGGTGTCAACCATGGACTTGGTCGGGGTCATGTCATAGCTGGGGGCGCGGCTTTCCCGCTGACAGGAGATGCATGGTGTTAATCCAGTATGGCCTACGTAAAGTCACTTTTTCCGTTTAACAGAGCAAGATACATAAAAAACTGAGCTGTATTGTCCGTACAGTATCTGTGACTTTACAAACGACCCAAAGAAATGGCCAGAGGTGTCGTTTCCTGACGTCATTTTTTGTAACCCAATCGAGTCTCCAGCTAGAGACAACTGGAATATCAGTATCCCATGGTCATCGTGAGATGACTGGTATGAAGTGGTTTAATCGAGGAACAGACAGTTTTTTCCCATTAGTTATCAGAACAGAAAATACAGGTGACAAAAGTATGTTTATTAAACAAATAACGGTTCAGTATTGCAATTAAGAGCTATGCAAGCATTAATATTTTACATTGGCCACTTCAAATCTTTTACGATTTAGCTCTCTCATGATTATAACTACAAAACTAGCACTATGAAAAAGTGTAAGATAATAATCAGTCACCTTGACTGATGAAGTTAATAGGCATGCGCAGGCAAACGCTCAAGCGCGTCACACACGATCCGCCTACTCTTGCATAATTGACACCCTCTCATTAGCATGTTGCGCAGAGGAAAAAAAATGGGGAACTTCATTCAGAAATAAATGAGTGATCAAAGGAAAATATTTAGGATGAGTTTAGCATTTCCTTAAACATTTTCCATTTGCCCACCAATTTATATTATTTATTTGCCTACTTTCATCACATGTTTAATTATTTATTTATGCATTTAAACAAGAATACGTGTATTTATGCACACATTTATTTATTTATTGTTTTTGCAGGTTTCGTCCTCCATACAAAAGTAGGTGCATGTTAAAAGCTTCAACAAAGTCACAGCGCTCCTAGAAGGATCCTAAAAGAAAATATATGTCATTAAAAACGTTGTGACAAAATATGCTGTAGGCTATGCATGTGGAAAAAGGAAAGAAAAAAACGGACAAACCTGATTCAACCACATTCCGTTTTCCCATTAGACCCACAAAAGTCTGACATTTCTGCCCTGGAAGTCATTTGTAAGATAAACCACATTATTAGATTTGATTCACACACGATTCAGCATTAGCAGCCGCTTTGTCTTTTAAAAGAATGTTCTCTTCTTTTCTTGAACAAATTTTATATATATATATATATTTCTGTTGGCTTATTATTTTAAAGGATTCTTTAGCGGCTCTATTTATTCATCTTTATTTTAAATTTTTTTAATTTGTTGATTTAATATCATTTTAAAATACTATTTACTAATTTTAATGATCAATATTTAATGTATTTTAATTCAATTTTAATTTATTTTAATTAAATTGATCAACTTAATTAGATATGATTATTGAATATTCATGTAATTAAATTACTTATTAATACATTCATTAATAATAATACATTTGAAAGTGCGTGCTGCACAGGACGAAAGAGAACAAATTCAACTGGTGTTATTGTTAAAAGTAAAACTATTAAAATATTTTTGTTCATTGATATAAAGCTGGAATAAAATAAAATAAAATATAAATAGATGAAAATTAAAAAAAAAAAACGGAATAAAAATGCCTTGGCAACTAACTAAAATAAGTATAAGTTGAAGCGCTAAAATTACTAAAAATAAAGTAAGGCTAAATAGATGAAAAATGAAATAAATGCAATGAAAACTAAAAATATAAAAATAAAAGCTAATATCAAAATAGTAATAAGTACACCAAATAACATTTGAAGAAATAAAATATTAAATATAAAATAAAAGTAATTGAAATGGTTCACAGATTAAATAAAACTAAATAGATTTTCCATTCGTTGCTGTTTTTCATTCTTTCTAAGGTTTGAATGTATTTTGAATATTTATTTTGTATGATTCTATTTAGTATTTTGCACAGTAATACGCTCCTTCTCGTCTCTTATTGGCCATTTGATCGTGTCACTCAAACCTGCCAGGCCTCCGTAGGTCACGCCCCCGCGTTTATCTAAATGAGGAAGAATTTGAATTAAAAGTGAAACAATGTAACGTTCGAGATACACAGATTCGGGAGTGTGTGCAGTTCACGTGCGTGTTCATAAACAAAGAAATGCCCGTTCTCAGCTGAAAACCATGTTTTATTGTCGATTTCTGCTGCTTTGTTTTTATCTGTTATATTTCTGCGCTGCGTTTCGCGTTAATGCAACGTCTCCTCCGAGAAATGCGAAATCCTCTGATAATCTGCAGCACATAGACTCTGCGGAGCAGAATGCAGGTAGCACCAGATACAAAAGAAGGTCCACTGAAGGTCTGGAGGGGTTCGAACCTGGTGATGTTGCTCCTGCTTTCCAGGTGCACACTCTGGACGGAGGGTTTATTTACAGTCCTCAGAACGACTCGAGGAGTGCGCTCATCGTTCACGCGTTCACCAATAAATCCGCCTTTCTGGAGTGTCTGTGGACGTGGAGCGAGTCTCTGTCGGACCTGCTGACATATCTGCCGTCCAGCACTGAAGTCCTGCTGCTGTCCCTGGATGACACTGCGCTGCAGGACGCCCTCTGGATGAGAGAACAGGTGTACAGAGCCGCAGCTCGTGGGTACAGACACACATTCAGTATCACATTAACAACTCACACCATCACTGTAGCTTTCTTTCTTTCTTTCTTTCGTTCTACCACAAAGTACCACGTTTTATTATGATTTTGGACAACATGATACTGTTGTATTCTTCAAAATTACTTTGGAGAACCATTTCAATAATTACCATATAGTATACACATATATAAACATTCACTGTCGCGATAGATAGATAGATAGATAGATAGATAGATAGATAGAGATGCAGACAGACAGACCCATTTTTTTTATTCCTAAAAATGTATTCATTTATTTACTTATGTATTTCTTATTATTTATTTTTTATTTATACAATTATTTTTATTTATTTATTTATTATGATTTTTTGACATCATGGTTAATACTGTAGTATTTTGTAAATTACCTTCGAGAACCATTTAAATAATAACAATAGTATACAACTATGTAAACACTTCACTACCTTATTATTATAGGATATTACAAAGTACATTACCTTACCATCGAAGACCATCGCTGTATGTATAAATAGGTTCATTTATTTATATATTTATTTTTTTATTTGGACTAAAAAGTACTTGTTGTTAATCATATTTTTAATTCATTTTTAATATTTTAATTACCTTGGAAAACCATTTAAATAATTTCTGTGTGTAGTATACAAATATATGAATATTCAATATTGTAGAATATATCAAAGTACTATGGTATTACCATCTGATATCACATCACTGTGATAGATAGATAGATAGATAGATAGATAGATAGATAGATAGATAGATAGATAGAGACAGACAGGTTTTTAATTCATAATTTTTTTTTTTTTTTTTTCAAAATTAATATTTGTTTTATTTAGTATTTATTTATTTATATCAAAAATACCAGGTCATATTATGATGTTTGGATATCATGGTATACTATAGTATTTTTTTAAATTACCTTTAAAAACGTCGTAACTGTAGTGAGATATTACCACAGTATGCAAAAATTACATCAAGGCAATTAATATTCAAACACCATTTTTGTTGACTTGTTAGAGGAAAAGAGATCTTGTCCAGACTGCATTTCTCTCCTACTCCTGTGTTTGCGCTGGGTAACTGGTTACCCAGAGTTCTGTACTCATGGGGATGTGGTGGACACAACTGCGGCCTCGCTCAGGTGCTTTTCTCCTCTCAAGGTGAGTGCGTGTCTTGATGGGATCACATGACTCGGTTCCGTTTGTTTTGGGGGCATCATTTCTTAAATTTTCTGGAATTTCCAGACTGGAGCGCACCGGTGATCACCAAGCGTCTCAATGCCCGATACGACTGGCTGAATGGACGCTGGGGTGCAGATCCTTACAGACTGCTGGATGCAGGTGATGGTTGTGAACCTGTAGCATCTGTCAAAGGTGCAGTCGCGTGGGTATCTGAGGGTGGCTGCTCTTTCTTCACAAAGGTGAGCTGCATGAGCAAGGCAGCATGGATATTTGTTCAAGATACAAGATATGGCCTGATTTTCAATGTTTTTAAATGTTTAAGATAAAAACCATGGCTGAATCGAATGCTACTGGAGTGCTGGTGTATGCATTGCCTGGGAATCCCATACAGGACATGAACTGCTTAGGAGACGATTGTTCCACCTCCATCAACATACCTGCGTCTATGGTCCATATCGAACCATCTGTCACGCAAGCACTGCGGTAAAACAAAATAAGTACTAAAATAAAAATAAAACTGAAATAAAACAATAAGGCTAAATAGAAATATATAAAAAAAATAATAAAAATGACAAAAGCACACAACAAAAGTACTAAAACTTAAAATTAAAATGAAAGCTAAAAATAAAAGCTAGTTCTAAATAAATATTACAAATAATACATAATAGTATATAAATAATACATTTACATTTAGTCATTTTGCAGATGCGACTTACAATTGGGGAACACATAAAGCGATTCTTCTTAAAGAGGCAAACAGACACAGGAAGTGCTCGTAATACCAAGTTTCAGGCATTTGTTCAAATAAGTACAAGCTAGAAAGGGAAGGAATAAATAAAGAGAAAGACAGCGTTTTTTTTCTTTCTTTCTTTAATTTAGGATGAAGTCAAGTAATAATAGTGGTTCTTTTTTGTATTATGCACCAAGAGCTTGTAACACTCCAAAGAGAAAGGAAAAATTTGTGTAATTACACGGTAACAAGGACACCTTAAAATAAAGTGTAACCGAAAACTGATATCTGATTGGTAAATATTTCATCCACTTAACAGCTAATACTTATCATGTTTAAAACATTTGTGTGTTCAATCCATTCAAAACTATTTGTCTTCATTTTTAGTGCATGTACTGGAAACCGGGGCTAGTTGTCACAATTTGAATCGAGTGAAAAGTAGTGATAAATGTTGAATGTAGTGATTGACTGACGGCCAATGCCATAGGGATATCTGGAGAACTGGGTGCTGACAGCTGATATTGTGCTAATACTGTATGCGCGAAATGCTGATCTTAAAATCTTAAAATTGCAAAATATTGTCCAATTATTGGCCTGGCCGTTACTATCACTAACGTATGCTATCATAATTCACCTTTTTTCTTATGTCCAGTTCACATTTATTTAATTCTGTAGGTTCACATTCAGTGAGGCTCTGCAGGAGCAGCTGAGTCAGCCTGCCGTTATAGTGCCTGTGTTTGATCGTCATCTGATGCAGGGAGAGACGGGAGCTCAAGCATTGGTGGATCTGCCTGGAGGTTTGAGCTTCACATTAGTAACATCCACCATGACGTGACAGGCCTGTCATTCAAAGCTAGACATTTTTTTCTCTAATTCTGTCTGTTTTTGTATATAGATTTCATGGATTATGATATTCTGGAATTGGACGCCTCCCTGTCCTGTCCCGGCCGCAGGGACGAGACATGTGCTCACTGGGATCACACCGTACAGCTGTACGTATGCTGCGATCGCACCAGCCCATACTGCAACCCAGAGCTCGGGCGCTGGATAACAGCCTTCCGGAGGTACATGATCATTCGGTTTAACTGAATTGTTGCTGTTTTTTCCAACATCGTCATTGTGGACATTAGAAATTAGCCTTGAAGGGTTAGTTCACCCAAAAATGAAAATTAGGCTGCGTTTTACTCACCCCCGAGGCATCCTAGGTGTATATGACTTTCTTCTTTCAGACGAATCCAGTCGGAGTTATATTAAAAATTGTCTTTGATCTTTCAAGCTGTTTAGTGCCACTCAGCGGGTATTGCATTGCTTCAGTCCAAAAGACCTTAAATAAAAAGCGCCCATCCATAAAAAAAATGGCTCACACAGCTCCGGGGGGGTGAACAAAGGCCTTCTGTAGCGAATCGATGCGTTTTTGTAAGAAAAATATCCATATTTAAAACGTAATAATCACTTGAATCTAGCTTGCGCTCACTGTTGTAAACAGAAGCAGTTCCGGTGGAATGACGTATGAGATCGGCTTTGCGCATGCGCGGCTCAGAAGTGACGCACGCGGAAACGCAGCGGAGAGATCAAAACAATGGATATTTATATATTGGATATTTTTCTTACAAAAACGCATCGATTCGCTACAGAAGGCCTTTGTTCACCCCCCGGAGCCATGTGAGACACTTTTTTTTTTTTATGGATGGGCGATTTTTATTTAAGTTCTTTTGGACTGAAGCAATGCAACACCCGCTGAGTGGCATTAAACAGCTTGAAAGATCAAAGACAATTTTTAATATAACTCCGACTGGATTCGTCTGAAAGAAGAAAGTCATATACACCTAGGATGCCTCGGGGGTGAGTAAAACGCAGCCTATTTTTCATTTTTGGGTGAACTAACCCTTTAAGGCCTGTTCACACCAAGGATGTGAAAAATAATGATAGAGATTTAGTTTTAAATGTCATTCTATATTTAAAAGAATAGCAGAGTCCACACCACAACTATAATTATACTGGCACAGAGGAACAATATCATTGGAATGACTTTCAGAACGATTTTTCCAGCTGAGGAATGATAAAAACATTGACAGCCAATCAGAATCCACCTGCTTCAAAGAGCTTGAGCATTTAAGGGGGCAGATGACAAACCTGCAGTTTGCACTTATAATATATAGAACGTTATTGGTGAGGACACTAATATAGTTGTCCTTATTGTTATCTTTATAGTAATCGTTCTTGAGGAGCACTGGCCTTTAGACAGTGTGTTACAGTTTGTTGCTGATGGTAGAAACTGTTTGTGACTTTCTTTACAGAGGCACGGGTCATTGGCTGACGGATGTTTCTCCTTTGATTCCCCTGCTAAATGACAAGAAATGTGTCTTCACCATGAAGACTGTGCCATGGGCCATGCCATGGATGACGTCTCTCAATCTACGCTTTAGTTACAGCAACCAGACAGGTCAGAACTCATTTGATTTATTTCTTAAGAAATTAACACTTTTCTAAAGCAAGGACACATTAAATGATCTAAAGTGACAGTAGAGACATTCTAATGTTACAAAAGATTTCTGTTTCTACTGTATTTTGCAACTTTCTATTCATCAAAATAGAAAATTGCGCGAAATCGTCTGCCTCATGAAAAAAATGTAGTTAATATTTGCATCATTTATGATTTATTTTATCCACCTGCAAATAATCAGAATGCATTTTAAAGCGGGAGAAACAGAGGTTTCCCCGGTAACAGCTGTACACAAAGCAGCGCTGAGCTCACAAACTCTGCTTTGTCAGGCATATAACACGAAAGATGAAATGAAAATGACATCGAAAATTTTCTAAAGATAGTCTTCCTTCAGAAATACAGTGATATAAAAACACCCGTGCCTCGTTTTGATTTTTAAACGTGCAGTACGTGCTCATGTTTATTCAACGAAGCCTTTTGGAAAATCGGTCAGTTTTGATATTGTGGTGAGTGCCACAAATAAATAAATGTATGGGAAACACATCCCACAGCACAACCACCTGAGCCCAACTTCAGTCTACTCATCACTTTAACTTTAACTTTAGCTTGAAGCATCAGAATCGGCATCGGTATCGGCCGATCACCATGATAAGAAATCGGTACTCAGTATCGGCTGCAAAAATCCTGATCGGAGCATCCCTATTTCACATTATTACTGTTTGTACTGTATTTTGTGCTTTGATATTTTGTTATCTATTGTGACTATCAGGCATTTTAGGCATTGATTACACTGTACTGTATATGCAATACTGAGTGTTTAGTTGTGGTTATAAAGTGTGCAACTTTTGGGGCCACCTGCGCTATTTGTATGACACACAGAGTTGCTGCCTATATAGTGCATTCTAAATTGAACACATGTGAGGTTCTGTTTGAGTAAGGATGCTGTTTTAGAAGGGATGCGTGTAGGCCGTGGACACTAGAACATTTTTTTTTTGCATAAACACCAATATTTTCGTGGAAAGAACATATCAGTGACTGATTTACTGCATGCAGCTGTGAATGCTGTTGCTCACCCACACGTGTTCTATCGAGTCATACTCAAAGGAACAAAATGAGGTGTCTCCAGTTTTGGAAAAGAGAAATGGAATATCATCTACGTAGTTAACACTACAGAAGGTTCTTCATTATCAAAATGGGTTGATATTACTCCACTTCATGTAACTTACAGAGAACTTCAAGTCGGTTACTGACGCACTTATAGTTTGTAGTCAGCCTCAGTTTTACAATAAAATTCACAATGAGTCATAAATCTATATAATCACTAGCTCTATTTTAGTGCACTTGCAGAACACCATAAATATGCTTTTCTTGGAAGTGCATTTAGGGGCTTGGCTGTTTCCCAAAATGCATCAGTGCGACTCCAGTTACTGTAGTAATAAACCAAGTCAAACAGATTGCAGCGGGATGAGGACGTCTGTTATGGATGTTGACATCATCTGACATTGTTTTCGCAGGTAATTACTCAGACAGACTGTACCCTCTCAAGGTAATGTCACTCTTCCCTGGGGGGACGTTTGACAAGGACTATAACAGCAGATACCAAGAGATCAAGTTCAGTCTTCCAGCTTCAACAAAGAAGGTGATAAATCCAAACCTGTTATTATTGGTGATGATAGTAATAATAATAGCATTTAAATAATCTAAAAGTCAGACTCCCAGTCAAAATAAAAATCCTGCTTCCGACACATTGGCCAAACAGAAAAACATAATATTTCATTAAAAACTGCCAAATATTAGACAATATATCAGCCTTGGTGACCAGATAATATAATAAATATATTGTAATAATTTTTTTATTTTAAAAATTCATAATTTGTAATTAAATATCATTTTAAATATATAAAATAAATATCTATAAGTAAAAAACTTTTCATGAATTGAATATGTGTTTTTACATATGTGCTGGAATAGTACTATAAATAATACTATTAATAACAATAGTAATGCAAAAATTATAATAAAATATTTTTTAATATTTTATTTTAATACAATGTATTTATTTTGTAATTAATTAATCTATTTATTTAATTGCATATAACATTTCTGGATAAGTAAAAACTTTCCATGGATTGAATGTGTTTTTTAAAATCTTTTAAAATCTTATTAATATGATTTTTATAATAAAACAATCAATCAATCAATTTATTTATTTTAATTTATTCATTTATTTATTTTGCATATAACATTTATGTATAAGTAAAAACTTTCCATAAATTGAATGTGTGTTTTTACATGTGTGCTGGAATAGTGCTAGTAATAATACTGATAATACCAATAATAATACCAAAATTATAATAATATCTTTTTTAATATTTGTAATATTATTTTAGTATAATGCTTCATTCATTCATTCTTATTATTTTATTTATTTATTTTTGCATGTCATATTTCTGGAGAATTAAAACCTTCCATGAATTGAATATGTATTTTTGTGTGGCAGGTGGAGTTATATGCTGTTATCACGGCTCACGGGTCTGACGAGAACTTCTGCGGTGAATTTTGTGTGACATCACATCATTTCCTGATCAACAGATCCGTCAATAACACCCTCGTGTTTGAGTCAGCTGGTTAGTAGCACCAGGGTGGCAGAATTAGTGGACTTGATACCATTTTATGACATTAATTAACACCCTCATATTTGTGTCAGCTGGTTAGTAGCACCAGGGTGACAGGATGGGTGAACTAGATAACATCTTCTGACATCAAAGAAATGTGCTCACACTGTGCCAGTGAGTAAAACAGATGTGCATGTCCGTGCAGGATCACCTCTGGGCTGTGCCATGCGGGTATCTGAAGGAGCAGTGCCCAATGAACACGGGACCTGGTTGTACGGCCGCGGAGGCTGGTGTGACGGGCTCCAGGTGGATCCATGGAGGACCGACATCACTTCCCAGGTACAGCAAAACAGAACGATAAGGTCATGGGACAACAATGTTGCATACTACATACACTGCATGTCCTGTGCAGCAATCAGTTAGTAGTAAAGCAATGTTTTATTCTGACATACACTCTTAAACATAATGCTTCTTTATTGGCATTGATGACTCATGAAGAGCGTTTAACATCCATGGATCCTTTCCATTGCACAAAATGTTCTTTATAGTGGAAACAGGTTCTTCAGATTACTTAAATATTCTTCACACTAAGAAAAAAAAATGCTTCTTTTAAGCACTGTTTACTGAAAGGTTTTGAGGAAACATAGCCAGAAGCATGTCATTTTTTGATGCACCTTTAAAATAGTTTATATTTAGCTGCATGATGTGTTAATGATTTAAAAACATTTTGTTCCCCTCACAGCTGGACATGAGTGGAACCAATTCTGTCCTTTACTTTGGACTCTTTGAAGAACGCAATCCAGATCCAAAGACTAATCCGGGGTACATTATTATGTACTCCTTTCTAGTGTTTTATAAATGATTTCACAGACAGAAAATTCAGCAGAATTTAATTCTCACTTTTTTGGCAGCATTTTCCTACATTCAGAAGCATTTCTTTTTATTTGGTGATTTTGTTTTCATTTTAGTATTCCCTAAAGCTGCTTATTTTTGAAAGGTATTTTCGTTTATAAATGCTTTCTGACATGATTCAATTTATCATAATTTTTAAAGCAGTTGACACCTGAGATTAGACAGTCACATAATCACACATACAGTAAATTGACAGATCTTTTTCAAATAAATTGTGTCTTGAGAGATACACATCTGTCTCACTTAAATCATTTATTTGCATTACTAGCTGTGTGTACTAAATCACTCAAAAGCTGCATATCTGGGGAAGTCGTGGCCTAATGGTTAGAGAGTCGGACTCGTGTTGCAGGTTCGAGTCTCGTACCGGCAGGGATTGTAGGTGGGGGGAGTGAATGTACAGCGCTCTCTCCCACCTTCAATACCACGACTGAGGTGCCCTTGAGCAAGGCACCGAACCCCATGGGTCACCATACTTGGCCACATGTCACTTCACTTTTCACTTAAAAAAAAAAAAAATATTTAGGCAGCATTTTAAGGCATCATAGGTGCTCTCAATGCAAAGTCTAGTCCAAAAGGTATTATGATGTTTTCTAAGATACTGTACTTTCTTTTCACTCTCATTTGTGAAGAAAGAAATCCCATAATGCCATCCAAAGATCTCAGTAAAAATACTGAGAAGTATCTTGAAATCTAAATCCATTTGAGTTATGATGTTGGCTTCGAAGGCAGCTGTCTATGTAGGTAGCTTACTAGATTTAGGATCGTTGTTTCACATAGTGCTCTTTAGTAAAAACTGTCATCAGTCATTCTTCTAAAGTCTTGCTACTCTGAAGTTTTTTTTTCTTCTGTGTGACAATTATGTGCAATTACACAAATCTCATGTAGCTTCTTAACTTCAAATGAAAGGAGGACCAGCAAATCTTGATCTTCATTCTTGAGTGCTTTTCACTTTCAAGGAGCCCTGATTTTGAGGACCGAACCTTTGTGACACATTACCTGAGTCACACAGAGATCATTCTTGCCCAGCTACAGTAGTTTCCACACTTGACTTCTTGTCCAATTTTAGGTGATCTTCTATAAAACCAAGCATTATAACAGATACTGTGTTCTGTAATTGAAATGCACTTTCTATGAGGGCTGCACACAATAGAACAGAACAGGAAATTCTTGTTTTTGTCAAAATTTTGATTCTGTAAAATTTGAGAAACAAAAACATTGGGAATGATCATATTCTTGTTTTGAAGTAAATAGAGCTTTTTGAATTGAATAACTCATGCATGAAGGTTAAGGTTCATGGAACCGCTATAAAGACAGTTGAGGCCTGTGATGTCAGTTACAGCAAATAAAAGTTGTATGTGGCGACTTCCAATAAAAAAGGTGAGCAGAGAGCAGTCGCTTTCTTTGATTCAAAATTGAAGACGTCATTTTAATTGCTGAAAAATAAACAAAAATGTGACCTGAACTGCACCCATATGGTAAGTCATATTTTTCTGTAACAGAATAATATATTTGTATTTTTTATTTCCAGTTATTTATGGTTATATTGCAAATATATATTTTTTTCAGGTGTCTCAGCACATATTTCTATTTTGTGGGATATTCCTTGGATTTGTCTTTGTTCAGCAACTCATGAGTGTTAGATTTGGCCTATCCACATTACCTTTACTCTCAAGCCAAGAGACATGCATGGAAAAAGAATGGTATGTTCTTTATTACTTACCTCTTTTAATTGTCATATTTGACATTTTTTTGGACAACCAATCTTAAATTTTTATTATTACAATTATTTTTTCTATGTGCTGATAGATTTAAAAACAGAATAAAAAAAATAGAATTCAGTTTTCAATATTGTAAAGAAATTAATTTCTGTGCATGGTTTAAATTTTTAATATGTGACCCTGGACCACAAAAGCAGTCATCAAAGCTGAATAAATAAGCTTTCCACTGGTGTATGGTTTGTTAGGACAGGACAATATTTGGCCGAGATACAACTATTTGAAAATCTGGAATCTGAGGGTGCAAAAAAATCATAATATTGAGAAAATCGCCTTTAAAGTTGTCCAAATTAAGTTCTTAGAAATGCATATTACTAATCAAAATTACATTTTGATATATTTACGGTAGGAAATTTACAAAATATCTTAATGGAACATGATCTTTACTTAATATCCCAATGATTTTTGGCATAAAAGAAAAATCGATAATTTTGACCCATACAATGTATTTTTGGCTATTGCTACAAATATACCCCAGCGACTTAAGACTGGTTTTGTGCTCCAGGGTCATATAAAATAATAATAAAAAAAACATACAGTACTGTTCAAAAGTTTGGGGTCAGTAAAATGTTTTAATGTTTTTGAAAGAAAACATCTGTTCGTGCTGTTTATTTCATCAAAGTACAGTAAAAACGGTAATATAAAAGATTATTACACTGTTTTCTATTTAAATATATATTAAAATTAAATGTATTTGTGATGCAACAATGTGATGCATTACTTCAGTCTTCAGTGTCACATGGTTCTTCAAAAATCATTCTAATATGACGATTTGCAAAAAAAAAATAAAAAATAAAATAATTATCAGTGCTGAAAACTGTTGTGCTGCTTAATATTTATGTGGAAGGAAATACATTTTTTTGCAATTCTTTGAAAAACTAAGTTTAAAACAATTTATTTGAAATAGATATCTTATGTAACAAGTCTTTCCTGTGGCTTTTGATCAATTGAATGCATTTTTGCTGAATAAAAGTATTCATTTTCTTTAAAAAAGAAAGAAAAATCTGCCTGACCTCAAACGTTTTGAATGGTAGAGTACGTTCAACAAAGTGAAAGCCCAAACTTTTGACTGCTAGTGCATGTTTTGCTTTAATGTCCTAGATGAGCTGGCGCAGTCCCTGTTTTCCTGTGTTGGATCATGACGAGGCCTGAAAATCTTTTGAAAAAGCTCCAGCATGTTGGTGCCACCTGGGCTAAACACTGGAACCAGGCTCTGTACATGAGCTCACAGAGCTCCGACTTCCCCACCGTGGGGCTGAACGTCATGAGGGCCGATCGCAGCAGTACTGGAAGACCATCCTTTCAGTGCTTTTCAGTACATCCATGCCTACCACCTCCAGCACGCTGACTGGTTCCTCAAAGCTGACGACGACACGTTTGTTGTGGTGGAAAACCTGAGGTACCTGCTCTCCCAGCACGACACAGAGAAGCCCGTTTATTTCGGCCACAGGTTCCGGCCGTTCGTTCGTCAGGGTAACATGAGCGGAGGAGCCGGATACGTTCTGAGCCCAGAGGGCCTTAGGAGATTTGTGCAAGGCTTCAGTACGGGACGCTGCGAGCATTTCAGCTCTGTGAAGGACATGGCCTTGGGCAGGTGCATGGAGACCATGGGAGTGAAGGCCGGGGATTCAAGAGATTCGAATCATCAGGAAACATTTAATCCCTTTAGACCGGAAAATCACCTCATTCCCGCAGAGAATGGAAAACAGGTCTGGGGCTACAGTTTCTACAAACCCAGACGTGTGAGTGCCAGTTTCTCATTGAAAATATGTGTGGGTCAGTTAACCCTAAGCTCTGCCCTTGGTTACTGTTGCTAAGACATTCAATAGGAATGAACTGGAGATTTACATGAAATTCACTTGAACAGGAATGAACTGGAGATTTACGTGCATTTTGAGTTAAATTTGAAAAAAAAAAATGATATTATTATAAGTATTATTATTATTATTAGCATTATTATTACTTAGGCTGTGTGAAATTGCTAAATTTTATCCCCAGTTTCTATTTAAATAAATGTAATTATGCAATAATGTGATTAAAACCTGCTGATACTGTGAATCAGAAACATTATTATAGTTATTATATAATATACAGTTATTATATTAACTAAAACAATTCAACTGCAATAAAAAAAAAATTCAGATGGTTGACAAATGGAATATTTCTTATTTTTATTTAGTTTAACTTGAAATATATTTAGTTTAACTGAATATATATATATATATAAATACTAAAAATGACAAAAACAAACAACAACATCATTAAAATTAAAACAGAAAATGCACAAATGAAAACTAATTCAAAATATTAACATATCTCATTGATATTGAAATAACACTGATCAGAATCAAGTCCAATATGTTTTACCAATATGTTGAATATTTCATGTAAAATTCAGTTTCAATCTACCCAAACATACAGATACTTACATCAGAAAACTGTTTCTGATAAAATCCCACCCTACATTTTATCCTTGTTGAATATACTGTTTCACTCAGAAATGCATCATTTTACAGAAAATAGTTTGCATACATTGTTTCATGTTGAAATTTAAGTGTTTAACATAAAAGTCCTTTTGGTTTTTTGATACAGCATAAACACTTACATTAAAATGACTGATTTTTAAATGTAAATATATATTTGATTATTTTAACTATAATTTCAGTTAGTCAGAACTACATTTTACAGTGACAATTAAAAACACATTTTTCTCTTTCTCCAGGGTCCTGACTGCTGTGCAGATTTTGTGATCTCGTTTCATTACATGCGGCCTGCAGACATGTACATGCTGGAGTATTTCACATATCACCTGCGAACATTCGGATACAAGTACCGATTCAACGCTAATCATGAACAAAACAGCACCAGTGAGCTTAAACACAGTTAAAACCACAATACAAATACAACAGACAAATGTGACCCTGGACCACAAAACCAGTCTCAAGTGTCAATTTTTTGGAAGTTTCTAGTGTCAAAAAGTGTCAAAATCTGGAATCTGAGGGTGCAAAAAAATCTAAATATTGAGAAAATCGCCTTTAAAGTTGTCCGAATTAAGTTCTTAGCAATGCATATTACTAATCAAAAATGAAGTTTTGATATATTTACAGTAGGAAATTTACAAAATATCTTCATGATCTTTACTTAATATCCTAATGATTTTTGGCATAAAAGAAAAATCTCTAATTTTGACCCATACAATGTGTTTTTGGCTATTGCTACAAATTATTGCTACAAATATACCCCAGCGACATATGACAGGTTTTGTGCTCCAGGGTCACAAATATAAAAAAAAAACCTGCAAAGATGTTTAATGTGACCAAAACTAGTTTATATGAGAACATTTGATGGTAAAAGATTACAGACTGTTTTTCTGTTGGAATATTGTTCATTTCCCACATCAAGAAATAGTATTTTTGCTCAAAATAATGTCTGAATATCAGTGCATTTTCTCTTTCTTATCAAGAATTATTCATACATTTCTTTCAAATAAAAACACTTGATATT